GCTAAAGTGTCTGTGCCCAGCAGTGGCAGCAGTGGGGTCTTCTAGGGGCTGATCCTACAGCATGACTCTGGACATTGTTCCTGGCTGCTTTGCCTCTGACCTTGGTTTTCTGACCAAGATCCTTGGGATGAATCTCTTTTAAGCTTAAGTTAGCAGAGTTGGCTTCTGATGCTTGCAAACAAGAGCTAACTATAAGTGATGTTCAGAGCTTCCCAAATGTATTTGGGAAGATTCTTTCTTTCAAAGAACATCTCAAGGAACTGTTGTTCTATGAGCATACCCTGAAGAGGATTGACTAAAATGACAACTAGGGATTCCCATAACCTCTGCTCCAGCCAGAACTAGACCCCTGCAATGGCCCACCTCTACCCAAGGCCATTGAGGACAGTCAGCACCTCTCTCCTGGTCCTCACCGGGCCAGGGCTAGTCTAGAACTACCCTCCTCCCAATGTGCAGAATAACTGCAGCTGGCTGCAGCCTCAAGAACAGAGCATAATCAAGGTGCAGAGGTGATTGGGCTTGTCAGAGAAGATGGAAGGAACTGAAATGTGGATAGGAATTCTGTTGTTTGATCAGGCTGATGATGTTGGCAGGTCAGAGACAAGTTCAAAAAGAATTTGAATTTTGGGAATCTGTGGAGTCAGGAAAGAAAAGGGGGAAGCTTTGGAGAAGATCAGCTATCTATCCAGAGAAGAGTGAAGCTATTTTAAGGAATTTTATGCCCTGACTGCATGGGAGGTGCTGCGCCCAGTTTCGGGTGCGTTTAGAGAGAGCAATTTTAGATGCCACTCATTCATTTACTCAAGTACGTATCGAGCACTAGACAGATCCAGGGTGGCTCTTTCTCCTCTTTATTTCCTCTTTCTTGTCTGTGAAATCCTTTAGGATAAGACTTTACCTTACTCATCTTTGCTTCCCTAGCACCAAGTAGGGGCCTGACAGAAGACTAGAAATCTGTGAATGTTTATTAAAATGAAAAAAGGAAAGACTTGTGGGATTTGCTCATTTCTGTGATGTAAATACTTTGACCATGGCCCACAGCGTGCTGACCAAATTCCTGTTACTGAATGTGGAACTGCAGAGAGATGTGTGCGACTGGCTTTCAGGAGCCAGGATGAGACAGCTCTGTGCAGCACTGGCTGTATCCACTTTATCTAAGAGAAAACCGAGATTCAGAAACTTGCCCAAATTCGGTCAGGACTAGCAGGGGGCAGGACTGAAACCCAGGAGTGATTGCCTAAAAGCTTGATATTCCTCCCTCTGTGCCACACAAGTGCTCCCAGCTGAGGCGGAGGGGCTGTCTGTGCTCTGCAAATCAGAAGAAATAGGCTTGGAACCTGATTCCACCATTTCCAGCTGTGAGACCTGGATTGCACCACTTAACTTCTCTGAACCTAAGTAAGGCCTTGGTCTCCTCATACGTTAATTGGCAGCGAGTCTCAGCACACACACAGTTCCTCCGTGGCTTCAATGAAAATGGCTGGCTCTGCTTTGCAGCAGCAAAGTCCAGTCTCTTAGCAAAAACAACCAGCCCCACGTGAGACAAGACCCGCTGCTCGCCCAGGGAGCCTGTCTGTTGAGAGCACACTGCTTCTGGCAGGCCTCAGGGCCCCTCTCCTGCCTCCTTTGGCCCGAGGGTCTGTAGCCAAAGGCAAGTGGGGAGCATCCTGTGGTGCCTGCTGGCGTCCTCCAGTAGACTCTGCCCCTCCATCCCCTGACCTCTAACATTCAGCACAAGCTCCTCCTTCCACCTCTCCTCAGGAGCTCAAGCCCAGCAGAAACCAGAATGCTCCCCAGAGCTGCTGGAATCCTGCACCCCATAAATCAGGACCCATCCTGAGCTGCAGGACCAAAGGAATGCTCTGAAAAATGAGGGAATCCCCTGAAGATCATTTTCAAGCATCATCCCTCACCCCATCTAGCTCAGGCCCATCCCCAGGATTGAGGTGCCTTCCAGCACCCTTCGCCACCCGCCCCAGTAAGGGTATTTGGGCTCAAAGCTCCAACTCTTGATGCTCAAGCAGCATGGGGTGGAAAGGGCCCTACAGCAGAGCTAAGGGGCTCCTGGAAAGCATGCCCTGCTCTGTGGCATGACCAGGAGGTAGCCCAGCCGCCTGCTCAAAACCTGCACTGGCTTTGAGGAAGGGAGGCAGAAGGTCTGAGACCTTTGTAAGAGTGAGTCATTGAGTTCTCTGGGGACCAAGCCTATCCTAAACCATGTGACTTCACCCGCATCCCCTCCACTCCGCTGCCAGCACACACACATGCACATACTCCACCTATTTCCAGCCTGGAGCGCTCTCGGGTTTCAGAGATACACACCAATGATGTTTACTGTGGCCTCGGAAGACACAATAAAGAAATTTCTGGGTCACCTGAATCCCTGGAGAACACTTAGGGAAGCAGAAGGGGGAAAGCACAGGCTGGAAACTAAGACAACAAGAAATAGCAGAAAGGATTTCCTGAGTACACGGGGGTGTGGAACTGCCCTCAGGAGGAGCAGCTTCCCTGGAACTGCCTCACCGGCGGTGGCAGCCACTCGGGCTTTCCAGAGGGCTGGTGTGACCTGGCGCCGACGGGCTGAGTAAAGGGGACCATTCTTTCTGAGTGACTGGGTTTGCTCAGAGAAAGAGCTATGGCCGGGCACAGAGGCTGGAAGGAAAGGTAGGCCAGGACCAGGCCTGGAAACCCCTCTCCAATGGGCTGGTACAAGCAAGCAGCCAGAGTGGATCATGTGGGCCAGGGCTGTGCTTGCCCTGGCTCATGGGCAGTGTCATTCCAGGACTTTCCTCCAAGTATTTCCCTGAGAGGTGGTCTAGGCAGAAATTGGCTCGGGACCAGCAGAGTTCTGAAGCAACGGTGGCCTCGGGGAGATTTGTCACATCTGTTTGGCATCAAGGGACGAGATGAAAGACACTTGAATGAGATTCTCTCCATGGGAAATTTAGCAGAGCACAGGCTACTAATCATGGGGGTGTGGGGAGAGTCCAGTAGGCCAGGTCACACCAGCCAAGGGACCTGCCAGGTGGCGTCACCCTGATGAATTGACCATTATTCCAGGTTAGACCTTGTTAGGGTCTCAGAACTGATCCCACCCATAGGGCCAGCTTGCCAATCAAACTACCAAGAGTCAGAAACCTACAGACCAAACTTGGCTAATGTGTTCGACCCTCACAAGTGCTCCAACTACCCGCACTTCCAGCCAGGCTGCCCCAGCCTGGCTCTGGACCCCTGGAGGGCTGAAGCTGTAGGTATGGGTTCTGGGCAAAGCCTGAGGGCCACTCCACCATGGCCATGGTGAGGCCCGAGGAGCCTCCCAGCCCACATCAGAGCCAACTTCCTCAGACAGTGAGCTGGGTCTCTGAGGGCAGTTTCCAAGTGTTGCCCCCAGGCCCTGCCCATGGAGGAGGACTTGGCTCCTCTTAAGGCATCCCTGAGAAAATGTAGGCCCGCCGGTGGAATTTAGACTGGTGAGGATGCTAGACCCCCCTGTCTACCCTGTGCATTACACAGATAGGACCCTGAGGCCCAGAGAGGGGCAGTGGCTACTTCAGGGTCACAGACAGGTTCCGGGAGGACACTGTCTGGGGCCACCTCTGGGCATCAGTCTTCCTACTGCAGTTCATTCTACCACTCCTGAGCCCCTGCTCAGATACGCGGACACAGGAACCTTTCCTGAGCCCAGGCAAGGACCCCACAGCCTCCTCATTTTCCTAGGATTGGTGTTGGTAAGGGCCAGGGTGAACTGTGGCCAGGGTAGGGAAGTGCTGTCTAAACATGCCGTGGGGCCTGCATGTCTGGCTCGACCGGCTGTCACCCAGGCCAGGTGGGCCTCTGACACACAGCAGGAATTTTCCATTCGCGCATCCTCTGGCTGGTTGGGATCCAAGGCATTTTTACGCCTCTTTTTTTAAAATTCCAGTTTATCTACCCTGCCCCATGAAGTTGCACCCTGGGGTCCATAGCATCAGTCGCTAAGTTCTGAGGAAGGCTTCAAGAGTACCACCTTCCACCATCCAGGAATCACCTATTAGTACCTAAAAGACAGAATTCTAAAATGTAGGAGCAGGAAAAGTGCTGTTTAAAAATCTACCCAGACAGTAAAGCTGAGGCTTGCAGAGAAGGGTGACATGCCCAAGTTTATGGCGAGAGGGGCAACCAAGATCAAACACATGTTTGTCTAACCCTGACAGTTACATTTACACTGTACCAGTTTCCCAAGGTTAAGAGCGAAGGCCACTGAAAGGCACCATAAGCCACATGGAGAGCCACCTGTATGGGGAAACAGCCAGACTACAGGAGAAGTCGCCAGAATGGAGAGCTGAGCTGCCAGGACACACGTTTCTCCACACTCCTTCTCCTGGCCTAGCAGGAGCTCCAGTAATAGCTCATTCTCACAGGCAAGGCTGGTAGGTGGTGGCCCCATCCTCAGGGACCTGTGAGCCTCATCCTGCACTGCAGTGGTGGGGATGTTTCCTGGGTTGAAGCAGACTTGACCCTGTGTCCAGGGGCCTTCTTTGCACAGTAATAAGGCTCTTGACCTGGTGACCATGTGTGGAATACAGGCTGGGAGGCTGGGCCTGCATACTGGAGACCAGCTGGGCTGGAGACCATGTCCTCGCCAACCTGTGCAGGGGCTGCGAAAGGCAGCTACAGACAAGAGGTTTGTCTCCAAGGCAGTGTCACTGATGGTCAGTGCAATACCTGTGCCTGCAGGGCAGGGTCACAGCCAAGGGGAAAAGGCTGACCCTGCAAGCTGAATGAGACTCTGCAGGCGCCACCACTGGGCCCTGAGAATGTTTCTCAGAGTCATAACTACCTCCCAGAGCATGGGTCTTCACAAAGCTGGAGCTCAGGTTGCCCTCAGCCTTCTTCAGGGAGGTGGAGGTGGTTGGCCATTTGGCCATTTGGCCTGTGCCACTTCTGACCTCCATGAAACTCCTAGATGGAGGTCTCCAGGTGCTGGCCCAGCATTTCCCAAATTTCTGTAAAATAAAGTCAAAGGGTGTTAGAGAAAAACAAAATTTTTTCCATGGTCAAATAAGTTTGGGATACCAGGTTAAATTAATCCTGGCTCCTCAAATCTACTACAAATGAACTGCAGACCTAGAACAGTAGTTTTCAGCTGGGGGCACATTCATCCCCCAGGGGACATTTGGTAACTTGGTTAGCCATTTTTAGTTGTTATAACTGGAGGAGTGCTCCTGACATCTAGTGGGTAGAGGTCTGGATGCTGCTAAACACCTGCAGTGCCCAGAACAGCCCCCCGACAAAGTCAACGTGCTGAGAGTGAGAAACTGGAGCTGCCCTGGAGCACTGCAAACTCCCAAGGGAAGTTTCTAGAGTCCACAGCGCAAGGAAGAGTTGTCACTCTTTAAGGCCACACAGTTTCTTTTCTCCCTTCCTATTTGTGAGGATTTCCCCAATATTGAGAAGTCATGACTGCCTCCCAGTACAGAAGCTGAAGGTGGCCAGTTGACATTGTCCTAGCCTCTCTGGAGCTAAGGGTACAGGCACATGACCTCAGTCTACCAACAAGATGCATTTCCCCAGGCTTTGAACCCAAAATGTCTGATGCAAAGCAGCAGGGACTATGCAGAACCCTCTCTGGCGAGGAAGGGGGCAGCAGCTAAAATCTGTCTCCATAGGCCACACTGATGATGGTTCTAGAGGTGGATGGTTCTAGAGGTTCAGTGTTGGTGGAACTGGTGGCATAAGCTAAAGTGTCTGTGCCCAGCAGTGGCAGCAGTGGGGTCTTCTAGGGGCTGATCCTACAGCATGACTCTGGACATTGTTCCTGGCTGCTTTGCCTCTGACCTTGGTTTTCTGACCAAGATCCTTGGGATGAATCTCTTTTAAGCTTAAGTTAGCAGAGTTGGCTTCTGATGCTTGCAAACAAGAGCTAACTATAAGTGATGTTCAGAGCTTCCCAAATGTATTTGGGAAGATTCTTTCTTTCAAAGAACATCTCAAGGAACTGTTGTTCTATGAGCATACCCTGAAGAGGATTGACTAAAATGACAACTAGGGATTCCCATAACCTCTGCTCCAGCCAGAACTAGACCCCTGCAATGGCCCACCTCTACCCAAGGCCATTGAGGACAGTCAGCACCTCTCTCCTGGTCCTCACCGGGCCAGGGCTAGTCTAGAACTACCCTCCTCCCAATGTGCAGAATAACTGCAGCTGGCTGCAGCCTCAAGAACAGAGCATAATCAAGGTGCAGAGGTGATTGGGCTTGTCAGAGAAGATGGAAGGAACTGAAATGTGGATAGGAATTCTGTTGTTTGATCAGGCTGATGATGTTGGCAGGTCAGAGACAAGTTCAAAAAGAATTTGAATTTTGGGAATCTGTGGAGTCAGGAAAGAAAAGGGGGAAGCTTTGGAGAAGATCAGCTATCTATCCAGAGAAGAGTGAAGCTATTTTAAGGAATTTTATGCCCTGACTGCATGGGAGGTGCTGCGCCCAGTTTCGGGTGCGTTTAGAGAGAGCAATTTTAGATGCCACTCATTCATTTACTCAAGTACGTATCGAGCACTAGACATAGAGCAGGTGCTGGGGAGACAGTGTTGAACCAAACAGACACACCTACCTGTCCCTGCCCTCCTGGGACTTGTGGTCTAGTGGGGGAGACTGACGTCCAGCGCCTGAGATGTAACTGGTCTTTTTGTTATGATAATGTTATGATAATCATTGGGGAGGAGAGGGGAGCCAGAGGATCAGAGCATGAGGGCCCTAACCTGGGGTCAAGGATGATGTTCCTGGGGAGGGGACCATCAGGGGATTGCTCCAGGTACAGACAGGGGTGAGTCAGGGCACAGGTAGGATTCACTTGGGGGCTGAGATGGAAGGACCACAGCATGTTTGGGGACTGAAAGAAGGCTCTAAAAGCCCAGAGGGATGAGGCAAGTGGACCTTGAAGCCAGGATGGAGAGGTAGGAGTCCAGGTCTTCATCCTGAAAGCAATGGGAACCATTCAAGGGTTCAGAGTAGAGCCACATGGCAGAGGCTTAGGGGAACCTGAAACTAGAAAAAGAACAACGTGGTTTCTTCAGTGACTCTGGCAGATGAAGGGAACCTGGCCTCAGGTGGGGATGGGCATCCAGGTGAACTAAAAAGAGGGAGGCTAAAGGAGACAGAGTGGGCTTTGGGAAGCACCTACAGTTTGCTGAGTCTCCTGCTGGCTGCTCTACACATGACTGCATTTACAGCAGAGCTGAAATAACCATAAAAACAGCTCTGGCTCCACACAGAGCCAGAACGCATGCTTCCCCAGCCCTCCCTCCAGTGCTTGTGGCCAGGCCTGAAGGCCGTCAGAGAAGTTCTGGGAGAAACATAGAGGGCCCTTGAGAAACTGTGGTGGAGGAAGGAGAGGGAACTAGGCAAGGGGGGCAGCCCCCGCAGCCCAGGACGCTCCAGACTACGGGATGTCAAGGACTCTTAGAAACCCGCTGGTCCAACCACCCCCTTTACAGATGAGGAAACTGAAGTTCAGGGTTCAGTGGTGGTGCTGGAAATAAAACCCAGGTCTTCAGCTCCTCCTCCGTGCTCTTTCTGCTACTCTAGGTGTGGGTGTGTATGTACGTGTATGCACGCATGCATATGTGCTGAGACAAGGCCATTCATCTCTCCATCCATCCATAATCCAAGCTGGCCATGATGTCGGCATGAATTAAAGATGTTTATAGAAATGAAAAAAAAATGCTTAGGAAAGAACTTAATCTCTCTACAGTGGAGGGGTGGGGGGAGTGTCCAGTTTCAAAAGGTTAATATCTTGATTTTTAAAAATCCCTATTCTGTTTTTTTCAAAGAGGATTTGGTGTTCTCAGTCCCAGCTGGGAGCTTAAGGAAACAGAACGTTGCTGCTCCGTCTGCTGCCCTTGCCTGCTGCTCTAGACTCTCTTGCTGAAGCTGGAGACAGGAGCATTGGATCCTGGCCTTGGCTCAGGCCAGCTGCGTGCCTCTGCTTCCCTCTGTCTCCAGTCAGAAGTACAGGGTCTCCTTTCCTGTATCCCTCTCCCCACTCTTAGGGAGAAGGCTGGTCCAGCCCAAGAATGCAGGAGCTCCGTCACGGGAGGCGAGAAGTGGGGCTTGAAGCTGGAGGAGTTCAGGGGCCCTGGCCTGGCAGTGAGGACCACAGGGGCTGAGGGAGGCTCTAGAGGTATGTGCAGAGGGAGGAAGAAGATGCACAAACTGTGCTGTGTCATGGGCAACAACTCTGGAGTCCCACCTGACCCATCTACTGTCTGGGTGGACCTTGGAACCATCCTCGCTCCTTGGAAAAATAATCGTGGGGCCACATGTGCACTGAATGTGCTCTTAAGACTGAGTTTGGGTGCAAACAGGAGAGTGTGTGTCTGGATCACCATTTGTGAGAGGACAGAGGCCTTGGTGTGGCCATTTGTATCCCCCTGTCAAGCCCCTGGAGATCAATCAGCTCTTGGAGCCCCAGCCCATTAGACCCCAAAGCTCCCTGGCCCAAAACTCCCAGGAGAGTTTTACAAAATCCCCTAAACTCTGCAGAAAGCCAGGCCCTGCAGGGTAGCAGGAAGTGAGCAGGAGTTTCACCAGGCAAATTGGGCTCCAAACAATTTTGACCACAATTAAAAAGCAGGTCATGGTTTCTCCAGATTCCAAAGGTCAACACAAGTACTTCTGCTCAAGTCCAGTTCCCTAGCCATTGCCTGGAACCCCATTATCTCTTTGCTAGGCAGAGATTTTTCTTATTAGGAAACCAGCAATGGGATCCAAACTCAATCAAGACCCAAGTGACATCATCACATTGCATGCTCTTGACCCTGTCCTTCTCTGGGCCTGTTTCCTCACCCGTTAACAGGATATAGATCAGATGACCTCACCCCCAACTCAGACACATACATAAGTTCTCTTTGGCACTCATTTCAAGATTCTAAATTTCCACTGAGTGTCTTGCCGGCCTCTAATGAGCTCAGTCCTTCGATGGCTCACCCACCCTAGGCCAGACCCAGGAAGCCCCTTTCCCTTTCCCTTAAGCCTGGTTTCCTCCCTGGACTATGGTGTGGGGTTGGTTTTCCCCAGCCCTAATCCAGGAAGAGGGGAACAGAGGCACAATCCTCCCAACCCATTGAAAGAAGGCAGGTCATACACCAGACAGGGGCAGGATCAACCCAGGGATGCCAACCCTGGACCCCAAGATCTTTCCTCTGCCTCATAACTGCCCCCTTAGATCCACTCAGTTGCAACAGGGCAGAGTCCTCTGGCCAGGCCTGTCCTGACTCAATTCGTCAAGCCTTTATTAATAGGCCAGACGGTTTGCTTGGCAAAGTATTAGCAGATAGAAAAGATCCATAGAGCCTATGGAGTGATTCTCTTCTGGTTTCTGTGCTGGAGCTCAGTCCCTCCCCAGGGCAGTGTCAGGCCATCATCAGACACCCCTGGGCCTCTGGCAGCTGTTTTCCCATTTGTCCTTTGGGTCCAGCAAGTTACAGCTCATTCCTTTGGCCACATTGTTCCTTAACGACATCACTTTTTCCATCTCCCTGATGGCTTGTTGCCCTTCTGCCTGAGTGCTAACTCTCAGCTGATCTCCATCTCCCTGACTTGCTGTGGATTCCATGGGTCACTGGACTGCACCATCTCTGGTCACCTGAGATGTGCACAGCACAGAGCCCAGGTACCTGCCTGTACCTCCCCAGAATGACCCAGTGCCAAGCAACCCCCATCCATGTGGGTGGATGGTCTCTTCCCCTTCAGATCACTTGTGTGCTGGAGATGCCAGGCACCCCATTCAAAGGCATCCTTGAGCCCATGCACAGCTGTGGAGGCACTTCTCAGACCCTACCTGGGCTAGGTGATGGACACTTGGCTTCCTCCCTCATCTCTACCTTAGATCAGTCACCAAATCCAGTTTATTCCTGTCTCCTGGCCCCTGTGCAAGCTGAAGTCACTTGACATCACCCACAGTTCTGCTCTGTTTCCTACATAAAGTAAGTCAAGCATCTGTTCCTCCTGGGGCAAACCCAGGTGCTGGGTCCAGGCCCTTCCTACAGCCTCTTCTCTAAGCTAGTCATTCATTCACACAGCTAGTATTTTTTTGAGCTCTAGCTAAGTGCCAAGCCCTGTGTTCATAGCACATTCTAATCTGTTTCCCTACTGCTGCCTAGCTCCACCCTCAATAATTTTCTAGTGAGGGAGTGTGGCGGAAGAGTGAATGCACTGACTCTGGAATCAAACTGATCTGAGTTTGAATCCTGAATCTGTCATCTATTTACCTCTAAGAGCTTAGACAAGTTGCTTTGCTTGAGCCTCAGTGTTCTCATCTGTAAAACAGGAATGCTGCCATTCAGAGGGCTGTTAGGAGCACTAAGTATAATTATATATGTGCCCTCAATAATATGCATTTTTGGCAGAAAAGCAAGAAAGAGCCCAGAGTATTTGGAGGCATTTCAAAGAACACAGAATGGCTGGTGCAAAGAGGCCTAAGCTGAGCAAGGCGGATGAGGCCAGGAGTGCAGGGTGGGTGGATCGCACAAGACAGGAGGCCAGCTTAGGAAAGCGGCTTGACTGGGAGGGCCCTGGTCTCATGGTGGAATAGCTCCAGCCACATTCACTTGGTGCCCCTCCATGTAGCCATGTAGGTTTCTTAGGCTGGCACTCCAGGCTTTCCAGCAGCCTCCTGGTCTAGCCTTCCCTTCTCTCCACTCCCAGAATAATATGGGGAATAAGGTGGCTTCTTCCTCATAGCATCTCTCCTGGCAAATGATTAATGCAGGGCTCTGAGGAGCATAGCCATCGAGGCCTGCTTTGTGCCCCTGCCCCCCAACATCCCACTCCCTTCTTCTCTTCCCTGCCAGCCTGATCCAAGAGAATCAGTTTTCCTCAACCCCAGCACCTGAATCAAGATTGCTTCTCTTCCCCCCAGCAAATGCCCAGAAGCTGTGCATGGCCTAGCAAGACCACTGGTTGCAATCAGCACCCAGTCTCCTCTTTGAGGACAGACTGAGGCTTTGGTCTAATTATGTGAACACCAGACATCTGAGATCACCAAGGCCAGGGAAAGCTGGAAGTCAGGTGGTCCCCACGGTCTGCTCCAGCAAGGCCATCCCACTTTCAGAGCTACAATCACAAAAATCAAAACAGAGAGAAGGCTGGGTCAGAAAGGGAGACTTAGATGGCAGCTGTTAATAATAACATTCTCATCTATTTTTTTCTTGAGCTATAATTGACATAAAGCATTGTATTAGTTTCAGGTATACAGCATAATTTGATGTATGTATATATTTCCAAATCATAACTATAATAAGTTTAGTTGATATCCATCACCATACGCAGTTACAAATTGTTTTTTGTTGTGATGAGAACTTTTAAGATTGGCTCTCTTAAAAACTTTCAAATATACGATACAGTATTGGATATTAACAGTCATCCTGCTGTATATTATACCCCCTGGACTTATTTATCTTATATTGGGAAGTTTGTACCTTTTGACCACCTTCGTGCATTTGCCCACCCCTCCCCCACCCCTCTGGCAACCAACAAACTGTTCTGTTTCTATGAGTTCAGTTTCTTCAAGATTGCACATTCAAGGGAGACCATACAGCATTTGTCTTTCTCTGTCTGACTTATTTCATTTAGTATAATGCCCTTAAGGTCCATCCATGTTATCACAAATGGCAGGGTTTCCTTCCTTTTTATAATATTTTGAATAATATTCTAGTGTGTGTGTGTGTGTGTGTGTGTGTGTGTGTGTATACACATATATATATACCACATTTTCTTTATCCATTCATCCACTGATGGACACTTAAGTTGTTCCTATGTCTTAGCTATTGTAAATAATTCTGCAATGAACATGGGGGTACAGATATCTTTTTGAGATAATGATTTTGTTTCCTGAGAATAAAGACCCAGAAGTGGAATTCTTGGATCATAAGGTAGTTCTATTTTTAATGTTTCAAGGAATCTCCTTACTGCTTTCCATCATGGCTGCACCAATTTACATCCCCACCAACAGTACACAAGCATTCTCTTTTCTCCATGTCTTCGCCAACATTTGTTATCTCTCATCTTTTTGATACTAGCTGTTCTGACTAACAGAGGTGATAACCCACTGGGGTTTTGATTTGCATTTCCCTGGTGATTAGTGCAACTGAACACCTTTGCATGTACCGGCTGGCCACTTGCATGTCTTCTTTGGAAAAATCTCTATTTAGATGCTCTGCCCATTTTCTAATTGAATTGTTTGGTTTTTTTTGTCTCTTGAGTTGCATGAGCTCTTCACTTACTTTGGATATGAACCTTTTTTCAGATTTGCAAATCATTTCTCCTGTTCCATAGGCTGCCTCATTTTTCTGTTGGCTTCCTTTGCTGTGCAGAAGCTTTGAGTTTACATTCTCTCTCACCTTGTAACAGAATTAATTAATGAGTCTTAATTTCCCATTCATCATCTTGCCTGGAGTGCCCCACCCGCTGTGTGAGGGAGGCTACAGGAGATTGCTCTCTTCATTTTGCCATGGTACAGAGGAGGAAACTGAGGTTCACCATGGCTTGTCCGGTGTCCACAGCTGGTCACTGCAGAGGTCTCTTGCCTTTTGTCCCTTCCACAAGGCTGCCCACTGGGTGAGTTTGGGTCACACCACTGACCAGAATCAGAATTTCAGCGAAGCAAGGGACTGATGATTAAAATCCCTCGTTAGCATCCTGACAGTGTCCAAGAATCTTTCAGGAAGTTCTTCCTCTGGAAAGGAACCAGCACAGATAGAACAGACACTGCCGTGACCCAGGGTCTCATCTGTCTCCATCTTGCTCATCACTCCCTCATTTCCAGGGGTCTCCTCTTCCATTCCTTCCCATACTAATATGACCCAATTTCTTCAAAGAACCTGGGGCTCAGAAGCCACTAAATCATGGCCCCCCAAAACCAGGGCTGGCTTTGAAGGAACACACATTTCATTAAATTTCTGGAGGAAAAAAGAATGCCAGGAGGGCAACCATAATTTTTTGTAAATATATTATTTCAGTTATTTTTTAGAAGTCTGAAAATTTAGATCTTACAGCAGATATTTCTGTGATTACGGATTTCAAACAGGTTCTACTCTAGCTGGTCAGCTCATTTTAGCATGGACTAGAATCCCAACCAGATGGACTGGATAAACTAGTGTTTCTTGTTTTTATTAAACCACTTGATTGAGGGGTGACTGACCTACAGAATATATATGTATAATGTATACAACTTGACAAGTTTGGAGGTAAGTATACATCTGTGAAACCATCACCACAATCTATTCCTTAAACAGATCCATCACCCCTGAAATTTTTCTTCCACCTCTGTATTTATTTATTTATTTTTTACAAGAACATTAACATAAGATCTTCCCTCTTAGGAAATTTTTAAGTATAAATACAATATGGAGATGGACTAGAGTTTAAAAGTTGGAATGAACCCTCTCTAGTCCATCCTACTCATTTGACAGACAGAGAAACTGAGGCTCAGGTCAGAGACATGCTCTCCCCAGGAAATGCAGCTCCTTAGTGGCAGTGCCAAGTCTCAGCCCAGAGCTTTGAGCCCTCATTCAGTGTTGCTTCTGTGGTGCTGCAGCCCCATTGTGGCCTGAGATCTGAGCAGCCTAGGCAAGAGGCTAAAGGACCATTTTCTGAGCAGCCCGTGGCCTCAGACCAGCCCTCCCAGGCCTGAGCCTCAGGCTTCTTTGATGTTCCTACTCACACATGTGTCTGGCTCAAATGGCTGTCCCTTTGGACTGCTGCAAGGGGCTGATTAGATGTAATTACTTTGCCTAGAGCAAGCTATCTTCTTAATAGAATCAGCTCCCAGTAATTAGCCTGCCAAAGGCCCATTTCCCTTGCTGGAGTCCTAGGGCCTCCAGGCCTTTAACTCCCACCTGTGAATGTTGGACCTCTGCAGGCAGCAGGGTGTAGTGTCTAAGTGGGCAGGGTGGTTGGGGTCTTTGGAGGGTGGGAGGAAGCAGTGCTGTGAAGGCACAGTAAGGACTCCAGGTGCAGCCTTCCCTGGGGCCAGGGAATTGCAGGGGACAAAGAGTGTAGCACAGAAGGACTACTCCATAAATGTTGAACTGGGCTCAGCTGAACCACAAAAGGCATCTAATCCAGTCCCAAACCCAGTACATTCAGCAATCAAGTCCAAGGTATTTCCTGCAGAACAACTAAGTGCCAGGCACTGTACTAGCTCCTTGGATCCTTCTAAAATGGCTTCAACCCAAGAGATCAACCAGACTGTGCTTGCATTCCATTGACCAGGAGCTCATTGCATCCTGGGCAGCCCATTCCTTCTTCAGAGGCATAGAGAATGTTCCATCTATTTTGAGCTGAAATCTCTTTCACTGTAACACCTCCCCATAGCTCACTGGCCCTCCCAGGCCACCCAGAGCAAAGCTAATCCCTCCTCCATGTGAAAGATCACATATTCCCTGCACCTTTTCTCCAGGCTGAGCATCCCAAGTTCCTTTGGTTGTGCCACGTACATCATGCTGGTGAGAACCCTCATTAATCTGGTTGACAGACCTGGAAGCTGCTTCTGTTCAATTCCTCTCTCCCAGATGGTCTGGAGCCCAGTAGCCAGGACCACAGGGGGCGGGATTCCTCTTCCATCAGAAAGAACCACAGCCTTAGCCAGAACAGGACATTATCCAAGGAGTACCATGGTGGTGACCCAGCCCCTCCCTGAGGAAAGGACACCTAAAATCTGTTCATTGGGAGTAACTTCTCTTGTCCTCTCCCCAGCCCAGACACACACACGCACGCACACACACACACACGGCTATGCATGCTCACAGGCACCACTCAATACTTACTGACTGATTAATCATTGCAAGTGCTATTATAATTATTGTGTTTGGTGCTGAGAACAGGCTGCCTCTGCTTACTTCTCAGAAGCCATAAACCTGAAAAAAAAAAAAAAGGATTTCAAGATTTGTGAGGCTATTGACCAGATCTCCAGGCTCACTTTTTTCCTTACCAGCAACATACTTGCCAGGGAGCATAGCCATGCAGCTCCAGAATCTCTGTGGAGGATAGATTTAAGGGACTTAATTCTTACAATGGGAACAGGGTGCGTTTAGGGAACTTATCTTGTAGCTAAAGGTGTGAAAGTCAGGATAGCTGGGCTTGAGTCCCAGCTCTGGCCCAGCAAGCTGTGAGGCCTGGCGCCTCATCAGGCCTCATTCCTCATGAGCACTGTATGGTCCAAGGTTTCCTCCAGTTTTAATTATTCTGTGACCAAACACAGAGGTGAATATGAGTGAAGTGGAAAATAAGGGTCAGGAGATGGAAGAATGGGAAGAGAGGAGACCAGGACTGAAGCTGAGAGTCTCAGGCTCATAGCCTCCTACACACACACACACACACACACACACACACACACGCTGGAGAACAGCAGCTGGTTTTCTCCCAGATCTCTCTCCCATCCCCTGCTGGCTTGCCTGAGGCCCCAGTAAGGGTTGGCTCTATCTATTTACTGTCCCTGTCCCAAGTGTAGCGGAGAGGGAGGTGGTAAAGGGAGAAGGGAAAAGGAGAGAAGGGGGAAATTAGTAGAAAATAGAGAGGCATACAAATGGCAAAAATGGTGTGGGCCAAGTGGGCGATGTTGTACACTGCTGGGGAGAGTGACAACCAAGAAAGCCCAACAATGTTTGGTGACGTGCAGTAGGCATAGCACTGGGACGCTTCTGGGTATATGTCTCAGTGAAAATTCCCTGCAGGTCCTTAGGGACACACATACAAGGATGCCCATCTTAGTGTGGTATTCAGAATCAGAGATGGAGACCACCAAGGAGCCCCTCTCTAGGGGAAGGGATTTGTCAAATGCAGTAGATCCAGACCTTGGACCAAGTCTTCCTGCTAAGGCATGGAGCAAGCCTGGCCCCCACAGCAACTCTATGAAGATCATTGGTCCTCACTCTCACTGATAGGAGACCCAAATCTGTATCCTGAGCTAGTCACCCAGCTCTTCTGCGGCAGGACCATAACAGAGCCAGGTGTCCACCTCCCAGCAACAGCTCCCACAGCCTCTCCTTTGTGAACAGCTGCCTTTTGTGTTTGGTTTGGGCTTGAGATGTTAAACAAACAGTGTCTCTTGACAAATGCAAGCTGGCTGTACTGGGACTGGTTACGCTCTGTAAATGGATGGATGGATCCAAATGGATCTGCCACATCTCTTCCTACAGAGACACACCAAGAAACACCTAGGCCACACTTTGAGCACTCTGAATCCCATCAGTCTGCCTTCAGAGCCCAGGATCCCTGGTGCACCTCTGTGTGACAACCACTGTCTTGTCTTTCTGTTGCAGCTCCTCTAACTGGCCCAAAGCTTTCTCCACTAGAGTCACCAATGGATTTAAAAAAAAGAAGAAGAACATGGAGAAGCCACAGCTGAGCAGTTTTTATCATTGATAATAGACAGAACAGATAAAGGTGCTTTCTGACACTTGGCCCTGGGCAGGGGGTGGGGGTGAGGGTCCAGGAAGGCCCCAGGAGTCCTGAATGAGAGGGAGTGGGATGGGCTTTGAGGTCTTTGGCACAATCCCACTGAGGTTGGGGGCAGGAGACAGTGGATGGCACTCCTACCTGCAGCCCCCAGGAGCTACTCAGATACCTAGACTGGCACTAGCATGGCTCCCCCAATCTGTACCCTGTCCTTAAGAGAAAGGAGAGAAGAGGAGCAGGAGGAGAAGACACAGAGGCCCTCCTAGGCTCCAGGTGGCCTCTGGATGCACTGTACTTCCCCATTGGCAAGTGTCCTCGCCCCTCACATCATGGAAGCTACAGGAAAGACCCCAGCCATGAGACATGAGTCTTGGTCCCATCTCACTCATCATGTAACCTGGACAGCCCCCTTCCTACTCTCTGGGCCTCAGTTTCCTCATCTGTAACATGAGAGGGTTGGACTAAATGAAGGTCCTTCTAGTCCTGAAGTGCTGTGAAAATAAGCTTCATAATAATTAATAATAAATGGCCTGTCCCTAAAAAGAGCTTTTTTCCTTTTCCAAAGCTCTTTCACTCATCATATCACCTTTCATCTGCACAGCAGTTTGGCTTAGCAGCCAGAAGCAAGCAGATGCCAGATACAGCCTTTCTTACTGAAAACTAGGTCCTGCAAGCCACTTGCTCATCTAGACCAGTTTGGGGTTAATTGGCTTCTAGGGTGGCTGTGGCTAGCAGCACAGGATCTGACGTATACCCTTACCCCTGGAAAGCAAGAAAGACAGTACTTTTCTTCCAGAGAGCCAGAAGATGCCAAGCGGAAAAGATGCCTGCATAGCTGAGTTCATGCCAAAGGGGCGGGGCCAGAAAGTTTGTGTCAGATCAAAGAATCTGACCCAATCACAAGATCTTTTGAGGTGGAGGTGGGGTGGAGACAAGGTGCCACAATTCAGGGCCTTCTCATCAGGCTCTGGTCAGAGACCTGCATCCTTGGAGAGAAGAAGTTAATACAGAGCTTCATACTGTCTGATTTGCACACATGTAATCTCCTTTGATTCCGTACGGCAATCTATTCAAGAACTGGTATAATGAGCCATCCAGTTACAGATGAAAAAACTGAGGCCCAAGGAGTCATTAAGGAGAAGAGTATGGGTTTAAGAGGCAGCTCAAGTCTCTTCCCAGCTGAATGACCTTGGGCAGTCCTCTGCACTGCCTTTAGCCTCAGTTTCCCATCTACTAAATGGACATAATGATACCTACCTTGCAGGATTGTGGCAAGGACTAGAGATAACATATGTGACATGCCTAGCCTGACACACAGCTGATGCTTGACACATACTGTTGAATAAATGCTTGAAGGAAGCAGTGGGTTGGTGACACTCCTGGGAGAAGCAGTGGCGTGTCCAGCCATGACAGGTCAGTCCAGGGTATGGGTACACGGTGCTTCCACTTCTGGCTGGCTGTCTCTGGAGCCTATGCTCAGTCAGGGGCTTGGGGCCTCTTCCACGTCTCTCCTCAGGGCCCATGCCAGGGTCCCGTGAAAGACTTTTTGACCCTCCTTGGCAGTGGGATTTACATTCCAATCATTCTGCTCACTCAGCCCATCCAAGTCTGGAGTTGTCTGATGCTAAGCAAGGCCTGTGGGATCATCTGCCATGACACCTCATCGAGGAGATAAGGAAGTGAGACTCTGAGAGGGAAAATGACACCTTGCCTGAGGTCCCACAGCCTGCCCCTCATCACCGCCATTGCCACCATGTTGGCAAATGAGGAAACTGAGGCACAGGGAGGCCTCCCAGTTCCTCTAGTCTGTCAGCAAGCCTCCTGACCTGGGCCCCATCTGCCACATTTCCAGCTAGATCCCAGTTCAGCTGGATACCCCACAGTGGTGTCCCGTGCTGTCCCTGGCAGCCCAGCCTGTCCCACTGAAGCAGGATAGGGGTTATGGATTTCCAGACAACCTGGGAGCCCCTGGGAGCAGTGCAAGAGACCCTGGGAATGGGTGCTACTGGCTTAGGCTGCCAGCCTGGGCTTTCTGGGCCAGTTCCAGGAGCCCTGATGACTGGGAAGGGACACCTTTCATGAGAGCAGGGCTTTCCCTTGGGTGTTGGCCCATTTGTGCCCAGGTCCACAGCTGTGCCCTCTGTTTCTAAGACAACCAGCAGCTTGGCACTGGGGAGGGGGTGTGGCTGGAAGGAGGAAAAGTTTAGCTGAGTCCCAGTGCTGGCACTAACTCACCGGGTGCCCTTGCAAGTCATTTGACTTCTCTGTGCCTCAGTTTCCTCATCCACATAATAAAGGGCTCTCCCTGCTATAGCATACTGTGATTTCTGCGGAGGGTTCAGGGTGAGGTGGGATCTCGCTCCTTCTGTTCTTTTTCCCTTTCTTGCTTTTTTTTTTCTGTGTCATCAGTTTATCTCCTGCTCCAGGTCTCCCTGTCTCAGCCAGCCGCTCTTTCTGCTTCCATCTTCCCCTCTCTGCCTCTCGCGCTCTGTATTTTTCTGTCTGCCTCCTCTTTTTGTGTGTCTATGAGTCTACCTCTGGTTTTATGTCCTTGTCTGTCACACCCCCTCTGCTTCTCTCTCTCTCTTCATAGTTACATGCGTTTCTCCGTCTAGTTATGTCTCTCTCTGGGTCTCTCCCCGTCCTGCCCGGTCTCTCCGCGCCTCTCCCGCTCGCTCCCTCACCCCTCCCCCTCCGCCTGCCCCCCTCTTCCCTCCCTCGGCGCGTCTCCCCAGTCCTTATTTGGCTGGGCGGGAGGGCTGGCGGGAGGAGGCGGCCTGCGGGCGGGGGCCGAGGGGCGGGAGCGGGGCCGGGCGGAGGAGGGCGGTGGGTGGTGCTGAAGGGACAGCTCCGCGGCGGCGGCGGCGTTGGCGGCGGCGGCCCCAGGGCGCGGAGCGGGTGCCCGGCGCGGGGAGCGGAGAGCGCAGCCATGCCCCAGGCCGCCTCCGGGGCAGCAGCAGCGGCGGCCGGGGCCGGAGCGCGGGCCGGGGGCGCCGGGGGGCCGGCGGCGGCTCGGGCGGGACGATGAAGCGGCAGAACGTGCGCACGCTGGCGCTCATCGTGTGCACCTTCACCTACCTGCTGGTGGGCGCCGCGGTCTTCGACGCGCTGGAGTCTGAGCCCGAGATGATCGAGCGGCAGCGGCTGGAACTGCGGCAGCAAGAGCTGCGGGCGCGCTACAACCTCAGCCAGGGCGGCTACGAGGAGCTCGAGCGCGTCGTGCTGCGCCTCAAGCCGCACAAGGCCGGCGTGCAGTGGCGCTTCGCCGGCTCCTTCTACTTCGCCATCACCGTCATCACCACCATCGGTAACTACTCGCAGGGCCGGGGCGGGGACCCGGGGGCTGGGCGCCGGGTCCCGGGGTAGTCCGGAGCCGGCTGGGGCTGGGGGTTCCCCCGGAGAAGGTCTAGGCGCCGAGCTCCGCGCTCCCAGAAACCCGAGTTCAGCCTGGCGTGTCTGCTTCGCGGGAACAGGACTCGGGGGAGGCTCCGATTCCTGGCTCCAGACCTGACTCTCCCGCCGGGCCAGCCCTAACTTGTCCCTGCCAGGCTGTGCGAGGGCCCCAGGGGACTCTGAAGTGTGTGAGAGGGGCAGGAACGACCGGCGGAGGCTGGGGAGGAGGGGTGTGGCCGGGCCAGGCCTTGGAGCAGGGCTCTGAGTGTGAGCGGCAGGGAACGCGCAACTCCTCCGTGTCCCTGAACATGGGCTTCGGACACCGGGGAGCGTCTACACTGTCTGGGGCTCCAGGGAGACGTGTGAATGCAGGTATTCGGCACTCCGCGGCACTGCGAGCCACTTTGGGTGTCTGAAACACCCTGTAACAGTGGCTCTGAATGCTGTTTGGGATGTGTGTATGTGTGTGTGTCTCCAGCTCTGGAGTTTGGGCACCGACAGCCAGTGCCTTTATTTTCCTAGGGCAGCAAATCTGGTGCTGGAAGCCAGATCCAGCCCTGTCCACTGCCTTCTCTCCTGTCCCAGGAAAACAGTCACCTCACAGGAATGGCCTCCGTTCTATTCTCCAGGCCAGGGCAGACCATGGTGTAGGAGGCCACACATAACCAGACTCAGAACATAGGTGCAGGCACACACACACACACACACACACACACACACATAGGTACACACACAGGCACATACAGGGCATATAATCATGTACACTAAAGCACACAAACCAGTGTCCAGGAAAGGAATCTCCAGTGATGCCATGTGTGCTATTCAAAGTGCCCAGACAAGAGTAAACACCTTTCTCCTAACCTTCTCCCAAACATGTGATTCCAGCCCAGCTCCATCACTTCGCTTGCTGTGTGACCTTGGGCAAGTCTCTTCCTCTGCCTGGGTCTCTGGCTAACCTCCAGATAATGAGGGGTTGGCTGAAATGATCTCAAGAGCTCCCCCAGTCCTGACGTGCTCCCAGCCAGCCTTCCCCCAGAGCCCATCCGGATGCCTCCATGAGCTGTTCCATCTTTCCCATTCCTTCTCCTCTCCCTGGTCCTGCTCTTTGCCTTGGCTGAGCTCTCAAGGGCTCATTGCCACTTGGCTTAGCCCATGACAAGATGACAGTGTTTTCCTGGGAGTCAACAGGAATAGAAGGGGAAAAAGGCAGGACTGGATATTGTTCCTGCAGTCTGTCCACTGCAGGACCCTGACTTGAGGATTGCTGCTCCTGGGGACCACAGGGACAACAGGTTTTTGGCTTCCTCTCTTGGAAGAGAAAGGACCCCAGGAGTGGATGTGGCCCAAGTGGGGGCACCTCTGGGTTCTGTGAGTTTAGTGCAAGATAGTGAGACTCAGTCCTGCCCAAAGAGAAGCCTGCTTTCCTGGGAAGGATCAGACCAGACCAGGGTGTCAGGAGCACTGAACACCCTTAGGCCTTCCTCTCACTCTTGCTATACACCACGCCCTTGGCCATGTGTCTCCCATTCCTTTCTTAGTCCCATAGTGCCTGGCTCCACAGTAACCTCCTAACTGGCCTTCTTGCCTCCAGCCTGATATCCCCAAAGGGCAAGCACTCCTGGACAATACTGCCAGAAAGAATCTCCCCAAAATGCAGCTCTGACCATATACCATATCAATACCCTTCTCAGAAGCCCTCAGTGGCTCCCCACTGTCCATAGAATTTGGTCCATGTTCCTTATCCCAAATTTTAAGGACCTTCATACCTGGCTCCAATCTTCATGTCAACTTCATTTCTCACTTCTTACTGACACAGTCCCTCCACTGCAGTCATACTGCCCCCTGAGAACACTTTACATATGCCCATCTGGCACACCTTTTTCCTCTGTCCTCTATTTATTTTGTCCAAGGTAACCTTCCAGGTCCAGCTCAAATTCCACCTCCTTCTTCAAGTCTCCCAGACCACTGCTCTGGACAGCTGCAGGACTACTGACAGGACAACCTGGGTGACAGAGCCTAGGCTCTTTTATCTGGCTATTTACATTTTAGGGGGTGGGTTTTGTCTCTTCAACCACACTGTAATTAACTGCCATGTGGGCAGGGCCCTGCAGTTCCTACCTCTCTGCTCCTAGCACTGGCACAGTACCGGGAAGCACATGAGTACTCAGACGATGCTACTGAAGGGTTTAAGGTGTGCAGAAATGAGGGCATCATCCTTCCCCTCCATCCTGCCCCTCCCTTTGGGCTCCATTTCCCAAAGTGACTGCAGTCTTCACCAAGAGAGATTCTACAAACGGGGCAGAAGCAGAGCGTGGTTCTGGAGATATTTATTTACAAAGTGCCGGGCAAGAGGAAAGAGAGCATCAAAGCACCTACCCTAGTTCTGTGGAGACCCCAGATCGGCATTCACCCCCTGCCCCACCCAAACATCTCTGGCTTTTTGTCACCTCTCACTCTGACTATGCCACCTGGCTGGAAGCTGTCCACAGGGGCACTGCTCTAGAAAAACCTCTCTGGGCTGTGATCAGAGTGCTGGAAGGGGCTCTGTTTTAGACTGGTCTTGACCCAAGACCCAAAGGCAGTGGCCTGTGTCTACTTGATGCCTTTGGAGACCCAAATGGGTCTCCTGAGGCACTGAGAGCCCATTTGGAATAGAATAATGACAGAACTTCCCATTCACTTGGACTTAGTGATCACAATGCACTTTCATCACATCTTTTGAGTCTCAGCCGTTGCAGCTCAGGGAAGTGGCCAGGGCAGCTTTTTGGCACCATTGTACAGATGAAGGCAAGGGGATTCGGGGCAGGGAAATGACACCTCCAAAGTCACACAGCTGGTGAGCAGCAGAGTTAGAGTGAGAAGCTGGGTATTCTGACTCCAAGACCAGTGCTCTTTCCTTGCCGGTCTCTCTCGGCTGCTTCCTCTGCCTCCATATGCCGTGAAGCCCAGAGCCAGCCAGGACTGGTGTGGCCAAGACATGCTCAGTGATGCCAGCTTGCAGGGCTCTCATGGGAAGCCCTGATTGATTGAGGGTCAGCAGGGTCTGAGTTAGTCATTCACCTGGTTAGTCACAGCCTCCACTAACTGCAGGGATTCCTCCAGCCCCCCAAATCCCTGGTCTCCCAGCCAGGAAACCCTTCCTTTGTTGTGCCCTAAGTTCATCAAACACAAATGGAAACTCTTTTCTGGGAAAGCTTAACCTCTCTAGCTGTTGAGTCATTAAACTCCTCCGGGGCCCCAGCCCCATCTATTCATAGCCCAGAGGCTGTCAGAGCAGGAAGGAGCCTCCATATCATCTGATACCGCCCCTTCCTCTCACAGATAAGGAACCAGAGAGGTGATGGGAGTCACACAGCCAGAGGGTAGCAAGGCCCCCACTCCTTCCACTTGTTCAGGATGACTCTATTCGTATTCTTATTAACAGCAGCGATAGCCACCATCTGTTATCTACGCTGTCAGGCTCACTAGGTGACACTCATTTGTATCTTCTCATTTCATTTTTCTCACCAGCCCTTCAAGATGGGCATTATTACCCCCCTTTTTTAGAAGCTAAAAGCTTAGAGGAACCTAAGGCTCTGAGTGTAAATGACTCCTCCGCGGCATTGCAATTTGAAAGTATGGCACCTGCCCAGATTCGGTTGAGCCTCTCTGACTCCCATGCCATGAATTTTTTGCCAGTTCTTTCTCCACTTCAAGAACCCAGTCCAGACCCTTGTATCTTGAGGGCACCCAGTAGCCAAAGCTTAGCAGTCTTCACCAAGAGAGATTCTACAAACGGGGCAGAAGCAGAGCGTGGTTCTGGAGATATTTATTTACAAAGTGCCGGGCAAGAGGAAAGAGAGCATCAAAGCACCTACCCTAGTTCTGTGGAGACCCCAGATCGGCATTCACCCCCTGCCCCACCCAAACATCTCTGGCTTTTTGTCACCTCTCACTCTGACTATGCCACCTGGCTGGAAGCTGTCCACAGGGGCACTGCTCTAGAAAAACCTCTCTGGGCTGTGATCAGAGTGCTGGAAGGGGCTCTGTTTTAGACTGGTCTTGACCCAAGACCCAAAGGCAGTGGCCTGTGTCTACTTGATGCCTTTGGAGACCCAAATGGGTCTCCTGAGGCACTGAGAGCCCATTTGGAATAGAATAATGACAGAACTTCCCATTCACTTGGACTTAGTGATCACAATGCACTTTCATCACATCTTTTGAGTCTCAGCCGTTGCAGCTCAGGGAAGTGGCCAGGGCAGCTTTTTGGCACCATTGTACAGATGAAGGCAAGGGGATTCGGGGCAGGGAAATGACACCTCCAAAGTCACACAGCTGGTGAGCAGCAGAGTTAGAGTGAGAAGCTGGGTATTCTGACTCCAAGACCAGTGCTCTTTCCTTGCCGGTCTCTCTCGGCTGCTTCCTCTGCCTCCATATGCCGTGAAGCCCAGAGCCAGCCAGGACTGGTGTGGCCAAGACATGCTCAGTGATGCCAGCTTGCAGGGCTCTCATGGGAAGCCCTGATTGATTGAGGGTCAGCAGGGTCTGAGTTAGTCATTCACCTGGTTAGTCACAGCCTCCACTAACTGCAGGGATTCCTCCAGCCCCCCAAATCCCTGGTCTCCCAGCCAGGAAACCCTTCCTTTGTTGTGCCCTAAGTTCATCAAACACAAATGGAAACTCTTTTCTGGGAAAGCTTAACCTCTCTAGCTGTTGAGTCATTAAACTCCTCCGGGGCCCCAGCCCCATCTATTCATAGCCCAGAGGCTGTCAGAGCAGGAAGGAGCCTCCATATCATCTGATACCGCCCCTTCCTCTCACAGATAAGGAACCAGAGAGGTGATGGGAGTCACACAGCCAGAGGGTAGCAAGGCCCCCACTCCTTCCACTTGTTCAGGATGACTCTATTCGTATTCTTATTAACAGCAGCGATAG